CCCCCCCCCCCCCCCCCCCTTCTCTCTCTCTCTCTCCCACTCCCTCCCTCTCCCTCTCTCTCTCTCTCTCTCTCTCTCTCCTTCCTCCTCCTTCCAGTGTGTGTATACCGAAAGGTCCCTTCTTCCCTTGTCTGCCATCTCCCTTTCTCTCTCTCAGCACGACATCCACTACATTACATGACATCGCATTCGTGTGGGGGGTGCCCGAGGGCTCTTGGGTGTGTGTGTGTGTGTGTGTGTTGCGTATGTGGCAGGATGCATGGACAAATCGGATGGATGGATGGATGGAACGATGGAACATCAAATTCTGCCGTGAGAGCTGGGGGTATGATCAATATTGGGTATGATTGATACCGGGCACATATCAACACAGGCCATGCATTCAGAAACTCATTGCCCTTGTCGGTCGGCTGGCTATTGGGTTCGGCTACACACACACACACACACTCTCTCTCTTTGCGGTCAGTGTGTGCCGTGCTGTGCTATCTGTTCGTCTGTACAGGTGCCGCGCCTGGCCCTGAAGCCGGCGGCCGGCCTGCTACATCTTCTCCTCCTTCTAGGGGCATTTCTTCTCGGGGCATTTCTCCAGTACGAAAGCCTTGGCCTTGGGGGTGTTCATGCCCTCGTCACTGACACACACACACACACACACCAACACCCACATACGGATAAGTGGCTCAAAGACAAGAGAAGGGCTGCTTACGTGGCCTGGCAGACGCGGTCGAAGGAGGTGGCCCCGCAGTCGACGGCGATCTGGTTGCCGCCGTTCTCGAGGTACTTCTCGAGCCGCCCGATGCAGATGCACCTGGGTGGGCGGACAGGACACACATCACATCAGTCGACTGGCTGTGCTGCGCTGTGCTGCGAGTGGTGGGTTGGGTGATGGATGTGTGTGTGTGTGTGTGTGTGTGTACCATACCAGTAGCCGGGCTCGGGGATTGTATCGCTCCAGCTCCCCTGGCCGGATTTCTCGAAGAAGTCGGTGCCCTTGATGTGCGCACATACCTGCAATGCACCCAACACGCATGCCACAGGCCCGCCCATCACACGTGCCACGTCAGCTCTGCGCCTACGCGGTGGGTATCGTCTTTGTTGCACTTTCCGTCCTTACGGGTCTCACCAGGGCATGCCTGCAGGCAAACCAGAAGCGGCAAGGCAACCATGCATCAGCAACAAAGGCCTTTCTCCAGTGCAAGTGGCTTTCCTCAGCCCTCGCCCGTACCTTCAGCTGCTCGTTGAGTTTGATGGAGTGGACCCCCGTGTGGTGGGCACGCAGCCCGTTCTGCCCGTGCTCACTGACCCCGACGTCGGCGGCGCCAGTGAACGTCAGGAGGCATGCCAGCGCCAGGAAGGCCCAGAGGAGGAGCTTGGACACCATCGTTGCTGCGATTGGTGGATGGAATCGCTTGCCCGTAGCTCCTTGTGGCCTCCTCCTTCGCGGCGGTTTCGCGGCCAGCTTGCGAGCTCGAGGGATCCACCCGAGCGCGTTCTCCCCTCGTTCGTCAGCACCACCATGAGCGAACTCTCTGATACTGACATCGTGCGCCTCGGCGTGAACGCCTACATCTTTGGGTACGCGGCATCGACAGATCTGGCAGGCAGGGAGGCACCGCGTGCACCACACAGCAAGCGCGTGTGCATTCAGGTACCCACTCGTGTTGATGGAGCTCACCAAACACAAGATGACCACAAGGCCCAACAAGTTCCATCATCGATTCGCAACCCCTGATCACAACTTCCGCCAAGTACACAAGATCTCATGCTGATCACGTGACAGACAGTGATGATATCCTCTGTCTGTCTGTGTGTCTGTCTGTCTGTCTGTCTGTGTGTCTGTCTGTCTGTGTGCCCAGGTGGTCAAGCCGAACTGCGACACGCTCTACTCGATGGCCTTCCTCGACCTGAGTGATGGGCAGCCTGTGGTGGTGTCGGTGCCTGACAGCAACGGCAGATATTACATCGTGCAGTGCATGGTGAGGGAGATGTGTGTATATGTGCGGGAGAGGCAGGGAAACACATACACGCACCCGGATCTCTCCAATGTGCCGTCTGTCTGCATCTGAAGGACGCCTGGAGCAACGTCTTCGAGTCGATCGGCACCCGCACCACCGGCAACAAGGAGGGCCACTTCGGCTTCTGCGGCCCCTCATTCAATGGCACCCTCACAGGCGCCCCCAAGAACGTCACGCGCGTCGACTGCCCCACCAACATGGCGTGGCTCGTCGGCAGGGCGCGGCTCAACGGCCCCGACGACGCACCGGCGGTCAATGCGATGCAGAGGCAGTTCGGGATGACCAAGTGGGAGGCGTATGTGGGCGGCAAGGTGGACAGCGAGGGACTCGATGCTGCTGCCGGTGGATCCAAGGGAGGCGAACCGAAGAAGGTAAGTCAGTCGGTGAGAAACAAGGAAGGGGAGAGAGGGACACACTGATGGTTGGTTGTGCGTCGGGGATTGACTGATGGATTGCGGCCTGTGTGTCTGTGTGTGTGTGTGTCTGTGTGTATGTGCAGGAGGTTGCTGAGATGTCTGCAGCGACATTCTTCGACACGTTGGCAGGGCTGATGAAGGACAATCCCCCATCCCCGCCGGATTTAGAAATGGAAGCCGACCTCAAGAAACTCGGTTAGATGGCGAAAACACCACCCACAGGCGATCAGATCAAAACCCACTCGCCACTGCTGCGTGCAGGCATCGTCGCCGGTGAGGCCTTCAAGCCGTCCGACCATGTGTTGAAGCTGCTGGATGAGGGGGCCATCCCGGCCGCCAAGGGCAAGATCCCGATGCTGCCTGGGCCGGCCCCGCAGCACTCAAACGGCTGGTTCAACGCCGAGGACACATACCCCATCGGCAGCTACGGAAAGGACTACCACGCAAGGGCATTCATTGCGCTGCTAGGTACGGTAGGGGGGAGGGTATCACAGCAAGGCACCAACGCAGGATAGGCGGCACTGGATCGATCGGCACCCTTGCGCGTGTGCGGTCAGGTTTTGGTGCGAATCTTCGAGAAGATGCGGTGTATCCGATTCTTCGTTCGGACAGCGAGGGCCGCCCCCTGTCGACGTTGGTCGACGGAGCCGAGGCCCCCCTGGTGGCCTACAAGCTGCACTTCCCACTCGGCACCATACCGCCAGTGCAGGTGGGGAGGGGGAGTGGGGCAGGGAGGCCTGTGTGGTAGGTCCATCTTGTCCATCTTGCCTGCCTGCCTGCCTGCCTGTACGCCCTGTATGTGCGGTGTTGTGTGACCTATAGGCCTTTTGGAGCCTGACGCTGTACGATGCGGCGGATTATCTGTCCGAGAACCCCATCAACCGTTTCTGCATCGGCGACCGTGACAAACTCGAGTATGCAGCGGACGGCTCCCTCACCCTGACCATCTCACACGAGGCCC